GATGCCGGATACTGGAGCGGTAGAAGGAATCGACCAGTATTCTGGCATTTTAACTATGGATCATATATATGTGTTCGATTAGGGGACAGGAATCAGCTGAAGTCCTAACATGTGCCCAGGGAAAATAATTATATTAAAATCTATAAGCATAAAAATACACGTACTAATAAAAGCAGAAAAAGGAAGAAAGAAAGAAAGAAAGAAAGAAAGAAAAAAGGCAAGAAAGAAAGAAATAGAAAAAAAAAACAAGAAACAGAAAAATCTATGTGAGTGCGTGACATAAAGAAAGAAAGAAAAAAGAAAGAAAGAAAGAAATAGAACTAAAGACAGAAATAAAAAAGAGAAAGTAAGAAAGAAAGAAAGAAAGAAAGAAAGAAAGAAAGAAAGAGACAAAGGGAAAAGGAAGAAATCAAAATAGAAAGAAAAAGAAAGAAAGAAAGAGAAAAATAGTAAATTTAGAGTATAGGGATTAGAAAGAAAGAAAGAAAGAAAGAAAGAAAGAAAGAAAGAAAAAAGAAAGAAAGAAAGAAAGAAAGAAAAAAGAAAGAAAGAAAGAGGAAGGAAAAACCGAAAGAAAGAAATAAGGACATACAGAAAGAAAGGGAGATCAATAGAAAGAAAGAAATTAAGACAAAAAGAAAGATAAGTAATAATCGATCTCTGCCTGTGTGTGAAAATTAGAAAATTAATGAAAGGGAGAAAAGAAAAAAAGAAAGAGAAAGTAAGAAAAAATAAAATAAAAAGAGAACGAAAGAGAAAAAGAACGAATGTAAGATAGAAAGTAAAAGAAAGAAATTTAGAAAGAAAAATTAAGAGAAAATAATGAAAAATAATAAAAAAAGAGAGGAGATTATAGAGCTTAAAAAGAAAGAAAATAAGAAAGAAAGAAAGAAAAACGAGGAAAGACAGATCAAAAGAAAGAAATAAAGTCATATAGAAAGAAAGAAATAAAGAAAGAATGACTGACAGAAAGAAACACACAAAGGAAGAAATTAAGAAAGAAAAAATAAAAAAATATGGAATGACAGACTGACAGAAAAAAAGAAATAAAAACAGAAAGAAGGAATGAAAGAACGAAAGACAGAAACAATGAAAAAGAAACGAAAACGGAATTAAACACGACAATCAAACACAATCATGATGACTGAAAATGAAAGTAAAATGATTATAGTATTTGAGAGATAAAGAAGGAGAAGAAGAAAAAGAAGAAGAAGAAGAAGAAAGAAGAAAAAAGAAGAAAAAGAAAAAGAAGAAAAAGAAGAAGAAGAAGAAAAAGAAGAAAGAATAAAGAAGAAGAAGAAAAAGAAGAGAGAAAAGAAGAAAAAGAAGAAGAAGAAGAAAAGAACAAGATAAAGAAGAAAGAATAAAGAAGAAGGAGAAGAAAGAAGAAGAAGAAGAAGAAGAAAAAGAAAAAGAAGAAGAAGAAGAAGAAGAAAAAGAAGAAAAAAAAAAGAAAGAAGAAAAGAAGAAAAGAAGAAGAAAAAGAAACAAGATAAAGAATAAAGAATAAAAAGGAGAAGAAAGAAGAAGAAGAAAAAAAAGAAAAAGAAGAAGAAGAAGAAAAAGAAGAGAGAAAAGAAGAAAAAGAAGAAGAAGAAAAGAACAAGATAAAGAAGAAGAAAGAATAAAGAAGGAGAAGAAAGAAGAAGAAGAAGAAAAAGAAGAAAAAGAAGAAGAAAGAATAAAGAAGATGGAGAAGAAAAAATAAAGAGGAAGAAGAAGAAGAAGATGAAAGAATGAAGAAAGGAAAATCAATCAATGAATAGAAGTCAATTGATGACTGAAAGAATCTGAGGTCAGAAAACGCAGAACTTATGGATAATTAGCCGGATACTTTTTTTCTGTCATCGTTCCACAATGAAAAGGATTTAATGAAGAACTTACACTCGGACACAATCTTACAATTGCCTTAAACTGACCTACAGCAACAATCGGAATTTGCCATATGACGCATACAATCGTCCCCAAATTCCGACTAAGATAATTTGATTAAATGTTGCGTTAGTTTTTGCCTTTGGCAAAAGTATGTACCAAAGCTTCTCTCATTGATCAATACTGGTTTCTGAAACATTGCATCTCTACACACTTTCTGTCTGAATTATACATATCTCTGCTATTACGGACGCACAACCATGACATGACGTACGTATAAATAGGTCTTACTTATGTTGGTATATGTCATATGGGATCACTTCAACCAGCGCTTTTATCCACTGGGACATAGTTTAAAGAATCTAGTAAATTCACCGAAAGAGTTGTGGGTTCAATAGCTGGCCAGAGGAGAGGTGAACAAAAAATTAGAGAGTTGAGTTACTAAAGAGACATAGCTGAAACTAAGTATATTCAGAAAAGACATGGCAAGTGGAACTAGAACAATCTACCAAGGTGAATGAAATGAAGCGTTCGATTCGAAATTCCAACGATCGAAACATCGTGAATATTGCTGTAAAGGTGAGGACATGAGTCCAAACAATGCGTATAGTGTAATTTTTTCCTTCAAAAAATTACTGACGATATATTTTATGATCTATAAACTATATATTAAAAAAAACATACCTTTTAAGATTATGTACAAAATATTTAGATTTCGGCATTAAATAACATGTAGATGGTGATACACGGCTAAACAAAAACAACAAAACCAAACCAAACCAAACCAAACCAATCCAAATATTTAGATTTCCACATTAAAAAAAAATTAGAGATTGGTATGCCGCTAAATAAAATAACCAAACCAAGCCAATCCAAGTATTTAGATTTCAACATTAAATAACCCATAGAGGGTGATATGCCTCTAAACAAAATAAACCAGACCAAACTAATCAAAATATTTAGATTTCAACATTAAATAACCCATAGATGATATGCCTCTAAACAAAATAAACCAGACCAAACTAATCAAAATATTTAGATTTCAACATTAAATAACCCATAGAGGGTGATATGCCTCTAAACAAAATAAACCAGACCAAACTAATCAAAATATTTAGATTTCGGCATTAAATAACCCATAGAGGTTGATATGCCTTCAAACAAAATCAACCAAACAAACCAATCAAAATATTTAGATTTCGGCATTAAATAACCCATAGAGGTTGATATGTCGCTAAACAAAATCAACCAAACCAAACCAATCAAAATATTTAGATTTCGGCATTAAATAACCCATAGAGGTGTTGATATGCCGCTAAACAAAATCAACCAAATCAAACCAATCAAAATATTTAGATTTCGGCATTAAATAACCCATAGAGGTTGATATGCCGCTAAACAAAATCAACCAAATCAAACCAATCAAAATATTTAGATTTCGGCATTAAATAACCCATAGAGGTTGATATAAATAAACAAAATCAACCAAATCAAACCAATCAAAATATTTAGATTTCGGCATTAAATAACCCATAGAGGTTGATATGCCGCTAAACAAAATCAACCAAACCAAACCAATCAAAATATTTCGATTTCGGCATTAAATAACCCATAGAGGTTGATATGCCGCCGAACAAAATCAACCAGACCAAACCAATCAAAATATTTAGATTTCGGCATTAAATAACCCATAGAGGTTGATATGCCGCTAAACAAAAATCAACCAAACCAAACCAATCAAAATATTTAGATTTCGGCATTAAATAACCCATAGAGGTTGATATGCCGCTGAACAAAATCAACCAAACGAAACCAATCAAAATATTTAGATTTCGGCATTAAATAACCCATAGAGGTTGATATGTCGCTAAACAAATTCAACCAAACGAAACCAATCAAAATATTTAGATTTCGGCATTAAATAACCCATAGAGGTGTTGATATGCCGCTAAACAAAATCAACCAAACGAAACCAATCAAAATATTTAGATTTCGGCATTAAATAACCCATAGAGGTTGATATGCCGCTAAACAAAATCAACCAAACCAAACCAATCAAAAATATTTAGATTTCGGCATTAAATAACCCATAGAGGTTGATATGCGCTAAACAAAATCAACCAAACCAAACCAATCAAAATATTTAGATTTCGGCATTAAATAACCCATAGAGGTGTTGATATGCCGCTAAACAAATTCAACGACCTCGGTTTGGATGACTTTTGTTTTGTCTTTCTCTTCTAACTGACTTTCCAACTTAGTCTCCAGTTTTAGAGTACAGGAAGTACCCTGATATCAACCGTGTCTATAATGAAAAAAATGGGATGCTGTTTTGTCTTAATGTAGTTTAAGAAATTGGCTTTAAAAATTCCAAGTTTGATAAACAAATTATTAAAAAGAACAATTGGCAAAACGATAAACATTGTCAAGTAGAAATTATTTGTTAAATAACAAGTAACCACCATTTCTTACTGCGACAATGCTTCGTCCTGTGCGATTTTGGACCGAATGATCTTTGAAAATATATGACATATTTACAACCAATAAGTTTAGTCAATAATATTAATTGCTGTAAATCAGGAAACCTGTTATGCGTCAGTTGGAGGGATGGATAAGCAACAATTCTTCTTAACGAAATACCATCGACTTGCGTAGAACCTAACGATGACGTTTCTACTAGATGATCAGATAATTTGATTAGATTGAAAATTAATTGCGACACAGTCTGTGTTGATCATCATTTTCGTAATGACAAAGTTGCGGGCTTTAATCAGAACTTCCTTAAAAGAAAATTTAGTGATGGCAGCGTGGTCGTCATCTAAATGCTGTGTGTGTGGTGATCGTTCGGTACGTTTTTCCTTTGGGGGACGGATTTGTCAATTTCTGATACGCTGTTATTTGTCTTGTCGTCAATCAATCAGGACAAGAGGAAAATTGAATTAATTCTCTAGAAAATCGAATCTTAATTGCATTGTGAACAAAGCCGAAGTCACAGACGCCATCGATAAAATATCGACTCTGACGATTCCATGTATTGTTCGGTTGAGTGCTGTGATCTTGGTTAAATTTAGTTAACAATATATATTACGGCTGATACGGACTCCTGCCATCCAAATTACGGACATATATCGTTGAAACATCGGTTCCCGTAAAATCAGCGAAGTTAAGCAATATCGAAACTGGTCAGTACTGAGATGGGTGACCGCTTGGAAATATCAAGTTTCGAATTCTTAATGGTGCTATGGATACCGGCTCGGAATTTTTAATCGGAGAGCTAAGTCCCAATTGTTGTCCATTATTTTTACTTACGTGCAAATACCCTTGGGAAAAGTATAAATCTACCTCTTCTCCCCTACCTATGGGTTAATTAATAAATAATTATTATCTCCCTCTATCCAAAATAATTATCTTCTGGTTTTAAATAATCTGTAAATAGTTGATAAACCGTACAAAAAGGATAAATCAGATCAACCCATCCAACTCTGTGGCGGTCTTGGGTATGACGATAAACTACATCCCCGGCCTGGGTATGACTATAAACGACATCCCCGTCCTGGGTATGACGATAAACGAGATCCCCGTCCTGGGTATGACGATAAACGACATCCCCGTCCTGGGTATGACGATAAACTACAACCCCGTCCTATGTATGACGATAAACGACATCCCCTTCCTGGGTAAGACGATAAACTACATCCCCGTCCTGGGTATGACGGCAAACGACATCCCCGCCCTGGGTATGACGATAAACGACATCCCCGCCCTGGGTATAACGGTAAACGACCTCCCCGTCCTGAGTATGACGATAAACGGCATCCATCAGCAAGGCACGGTTGGTGTTCCCAGGTCCACCCTAATCCGGAGATGTAACAAAAGTGCCACCTATTGGAAAAGATTTAACCCCTAAACTGGGGTTAAAACACTATGAATGTGTAAAAATAGGTTTTCTTCAGTCAGGATTTTTTTCCGATTTCCCAAGTATTTATGTTATTTTCATCAGTAGTTCTTATTTTAACAAGTGTTTCTAGTTGATGAGATAAAGAGTTTTCATTTGTTATTGACTGAAATATTCAAACAAGCCGCTTTACTTTTCATACTCATCTATCTATCTATCTATCTATCTATCTATCTATCTATCTATCTCTCTCTCTCTCTCTCTCTCTCTCTCTCTCTATATATATATATATATATATATATATATATATATATGTGTGTGTGTGTAGGCAGGGAGAAATAGAGATAGTTATCATATTATTCAAAGCAAAGCAATAAAGCCAGTAAGAAGCAATATGAGAAAATAAATATTAAATAAAAGAATATATATATATATATATATATATATATATATATATATATATATATGAATATATATTCATACATACACACACACATATATATATACATATACATATCTATGTATATACATATATATATACACACACATATATATATATACATACATATATATATATACACGCAGATACATACATACACGCATATATATATATATATATATATATATATATATATATATATATATATATATATATATATATATATATATTTTGAAAATAGTTTTCAAGCATGAAACAGACTGTTGGCGATAGGTGCTAAGTTCAATGTGCATCTTTGTCTTTACATACACTATATCCTTCGTACTGTGCACCTTAACCTATAAATATAACTTAGCGCAAAATTATATATTATATATACATATATATATATATATATATATATATATATATAAACATTTTGGTGCATAATAATCTAAAAAGCAGAAAATCGATCTTCTCTGAAACAAATAGACTATTGGCACAAATCAAATATATCTATACCTATTCCTGGCGGCAAAATAATTATCCTAAAAAACGTTTTGATATTGATCCGAAGAGATTTTAAATTACATACATTACATCCTTATATATATATATATATATATATATATATATATATATATATATATATATATATATATATATATATATATACACTATTAAACTATTTTATTTTGATACGTAATCAAGTTATAGTCTAATAAAATAACGCAATTTACTATCAAAACGGCGGGGAATATTCTCTCAAATGCTTCAAAATATGTGTTACTGTCAAATCGCAAAACCCGCCAATTTTAAAAAGGGTGACGGATTATTGGTCATTGCGAAATTGAATGAGCTGAAGTTAAAATTCCACTTAATATGGACAATGCATTTTCAATATGACGAACACCTAAATCAGATGTTATTAACTTTGGCGTTAATTTATCTGCTTTCTACGTGAACTGTTCGTTTTCCTTCTGGTGCTGTTTGCTAACGTCCGTGGTATTTATTACCATTGTCCTGCGACAGCTTTTGCTTGATGCAACAGAAATGTGGCTGTACAGAAACATGCTGAAAAATGTCATTGACAAAACATGTGAGGAACGACAACTTTTTAGTTAAAATAGAAACAAAATGGACACTCATTCTTAACATCAGAAGGAAATTTCTAGGGCACATAATACAGATTGACTGCAAGTGAAACAACGCATACTCTGCCTAGCGAGATTGTGAAAATGAATTTCAAATGAGGGTTTAAGAGGGATAAGAGAAAAACATTTATTAATGGATAGAAATGAAAAGAAATTGTGGAGAGCCATGATTACCATCGAGCTGCATGTACACGGATTACTAAAAGAGAAATAAAGATCGTAAACGGTCTTGGTGTAATTGCACGTGGTCAAATTGTACGGCTTGCAGAACGGCGCAACGACTCACCCAACAATGTTAAACCCCAAAGAGACAAGCATATACGAGATATCCAGCTTTGTACTGAGAAGGATGTATCCTTAGACGGGTACCTTATTAAATGCGTGGAGTCGATCTCACTAAACGTGCGCCTATACACTAATGTAAGTATATCTACGTGCCGGTACACACACACACATACGCGCGCACACACACACACAATCATATATATATATATATATATATATATATATATATATATATGCAATTTTATATATATTATTTATATATTAATATTCGCGGTATTTATGGGGAAGGGATATCAGATATATTGTTGGATTGATGCGAGTTTGTGATCCTGAGTTTCACGCGAATGGCGATGGTCACAAACTTACATCACTCCAAATATATATATATATATATATATATATATATATATATATATATATATATATATATATATATATATATGTTTATATATATATATATATATATATATATATATATATATATATATATATATATATATATATATATATATATAAGGGGTTCATAAAGTTTGTGTGCACTTTTGAATTCTAAATTTTCCTCTAGTGCACATGAACTTTATGGATACTTTATATATATATATATATATATATATATATATATATATATATATATATATATATAAACATAAATACATATACACATATGTGATATGATTCAGGACAAATAGCAAAACAGGAAAGGATTATCAATCATACATGTTTCACTTTATGGCTTCATCAAAAAATGAGATATGGCGAAAAAAGAAGAAAGAAAATCAGATAATTTTATTTTTATATCGATTCAATTTCATTGCTTAATCAGGTTTTTTTTATGTGCATTTGCCTCAATAAGAAACGTTGTTATATTTTATGACGTTTCGAACTCAAGGAGAGATGGCGTGTCCTTTCGAATCTACCAAACCTAACTATAAAAAGTGTGAATATTTCCTTACGTATTTAATGGGGAAAGAATAACATATGTCAGATTGACTCGGATAATCGGTGAGCTATGGAAGAAAATTTGGTGCTCTCATTTATTTCCCCCATTATGAGCATTATTATAACCATGGTATAATAACACAGTATTTTTTAGACGTATTTCAGCAAAAAAGAAAAAGAAAAAAAACTTCATAGCTCAATTTAGAACCAAAACATAAATATGTGCATAACGACTAAAATACCAGGGAAGAAAATATACTATCAAAGAATCAGCAAAATAAATCACAGATCCTAGATTTACTTCTGCTTAAAAAGGATAGGTTGCGTACACTTGATATATATGCTTCCAAGTCTTTTTTGTATTAATTATATGAAATTTTTTTAGAACCCATTTTAACCATCTTCCTACAGATCAATACTGTTAGTAGCACTGTTCTGATCGACATAGATATTCAATAAAAATACAGTAAAATTAAGCTACAGTTGCACAAATATTTTAGATACAATAATAAAAAGAGAAAATAAGAGAAACTTCAAAACCAACGTGCAGCAAAATAATACTAGTAATTTTTATGCAACTGTAGAAATAGAATTAGATGCCCATTAAATGGAACTTGCAAAACGGAATCTATTATTTATAAAGTAGAAATAACAAATATAAATGGTCAAATTAAAACATATATAGGCTGCACGGAATGCCGTTTCAAGTGTAGGTGGTACAATCACAAATCGACTTTTGAGCTACCGAACCTTATATACTCCACCGAACTTGCCAGCCACATGTGAAATTTCAAAGAAAAAAAAATAACAAGGGCCGTTTGTAAGGTGGACAATTTTAAAAAAAAGGTAAAAACATGTAACAATTATACGCGCATTTGCAAACTATACCAATATCAGAAATTAGCAATTAGGACAATTCCGGACAGGAAAAAAAAATGTTCTAAACCAAAAAAAATCAGAAATTTTAACCCCTTGCCTTTATATAAAAAAATAAATATATTAAGTAAACATGAAGACCTTTAAAAAAATATAAAATGAAACAAAGACCACTGTTAACCTTTAAACAGACTGTATCCCTTCTTCCATAACAATTAATTTACATATTTGATTTCCCTTTTCCTGGATACATTTACAATACACTTTCATTCCCGTTCCTTTCCATATTTTCCTCCACCGTCCTTTTTCCCCTTCCCTCGCCATTACACCCAATGTCCAGGCATTGAATCGTCATACGCCTTGTTACTTTTTTTTTTAAAGATAATTATGTAGCGATCTTTGTGTTTGTTTGAAATAAAGTGGTCAATTTAAATGTATCGCCAGAAGAGATCGTCAGGCCAAAACCGTGTTCGACTATTTTAATTGAACTCTTGAATGTATGTTTGTATATATATATATATATATATATATATATATATATATATATATATATATATATATATATATATGTGTGTGTGTGTGTGTGTGTATTATCACTTCAAACGTTAGAAGACACCATTTTAATTTAATTAAACTTGCTTATTATACCTATCTTCC